CATCTTTCACACAAAAATACAGAGATAGAAAAAGGCACCCACCACAGTATTTACGCAAACACAGAGCCTAGATTCCATGACGATTTTTAAATCATCTTCTCTCACTTGTACTTGCTGTCTGAACCAACGGAGACAAGCTGAGGGCTACACTCGCCAAGAGACACGCCTTATGAGGCTGTGGGGGTTTCTCTTCAGAACAAACTGTTCATGACAAGGCCCGACTGTTTGGATCATTAGCAAGTGGTTGTGAGCCTGCTGAATGGAGGTCGGAATACAGGGTGGGGGCAGGGCGCCCAGGACTGACCTGCTTGGCACTTCGTTCAAAGACCACGTACTGCTGGCACTGGTCCAGCCGCCTCTTCCTCATGGTCCAGTAATGCAATACCCTGTTCTCCCGCTGGAAGAGCTCATTCAAGATATCTGAGAGAGCGCGGAGGAAAGCATACAATCAATGAAACCGGCAGATAACTCTCATTTGCATTTTTTCCTGATTTATAATATTTTTACTTACTTTAACAAAACAGTCAATGCCAATATATATTATACCTTTTCTCCCTGTGCATGTTCTTCAACTTTATTGAATAAACTAGAGGTCCCTCGGCCTGACCTGAGGGGATTGGGCTGAAACCAGCCTGGTGTATGGATTCGTTCAGGGTGTGTCCGGCTCTTCTCGTCCAGTCCCAATAGGCTAGCCCCAGCAGCAAGCTAACCTACTGGTCAGAGCGTCTGCCCCCCGATGGTCAGTGCACATCATAGCAACTGGTCGAATGGTTGGTTGAATGGTAGAACAAACGGTCGAACGAACAGTTGGGCACTTAGCATATTAGGCTTTTATTATATAGGATTACCAATCTGTATATTTAATATTTTGTTACTCAGCTAAGATAATGAGTCAGAGCTTTAATATGTGAAATGGACCTTAAAGTGAAGCCCGGGATGGGGTTTCCAGGCAATGTCGTCCAGCCCCTCCCCTCGCTGTCACGCGCGCCTCCAGGCTGACTCACTTTTCACTTGCTGCTCCGGGGCCTTGACGTGCGTCACCATGCCCGGCATGCTCACGCTGTTCCTGTGCAGGTACTTCAGGAAGACGTCTGCATTCCTCCTGGCGAGCGTGCAAGCCTAGGCACAAGGGAGCCATGTGCTGTGGATCCGACTTACGCAGACACATCGAGTCCATATGGACGACATCAGGTGGCGCTCACACACGTCTTTACTGAAAATGTTCACCTGGCCAACGTGTGTTCATAAACAGAAGGGACCAAAATTCTGCGACCCTCAAGATGCTTTTTGGGGATACTGATGTGAGGCTGATTATTATTATTATTATTATATTTTTATTGATTTCAGAGAGGAAGGGAGAGGGAGAGAGAAAGAAACATCAAAGATGAGAGACAATCATTGATCGGCTGTTGGGCATTAAGCAAGCAACCCCACATGTGCTCTGATGGGGAATCGAACCGTGACCTCCTTGTTCATGAGTGGATGCTCCACCACTGAGCAACACTGGCCGGGCCTCTCCTTTTCTTT